CTCAGTCATGTCCTCCCGTCACTATGTAGGCCCATCATCCTCAGTCATGCCTTCCATCACTATGTAGGCCTGTCAATCTCAGTCATGCCTTTCCATCACTATGTAGGCCGTCAGCTCAGTCATGCCTTCCATCACTATGTAGGCCTGTCAGCCTCAGTCATGCCTTCCATCACTATGTAGGCCCATCATCCTCAGTCATGTCTTCCATCACTATGTAGGCCCATCATCCTCAGTCATGTCCTCCCGTCACTATGTAGGCCCATCATCCTCAGTCATGCCTTCCATCACTATGTAGGCCTGTCAATCTCAGTCATGCCTTCCATCACTATGTAGGCCGTCAGCCTCAGTCATGCCTTCCATCACTATGTAGGCCTGTCAGCCTCAGTCATGCCTTCCATCACTATGTAGGCCCATCAGCCTCAGTCATGCCTTCCATCACTATGTAGGCCCATCAGCCTCAGTCATGCCTTCCATCACTATGTAGGCCCATCAGCCTCAGTCATGCCTTCCATCACTGTAGGCCCGTCAGCCTCAGTCATGCCTTCCATCACTATGTAGGCCTGCCAGCCTCAGTCATGCTTCTGTCACAATGAATCCATTACCATGTGCTTTAAGTGAAATACTGTAAAACCATTTATTTTCACTGACATTTAATTTCACTAGTTTGATTTTTTGAGCATATTCACTGTCTTAATTTCACAAATTTGTCAATGAAACGATGCGTTTTATTGTTATTTTACATGTTCACATAGATTTTACTCATCAGTGAAAATAGCGAAATTGAAACCCTGTGAGTAATTAATGCATTTACAGTATTAGAATATCATTCTTTACAGCCTGCCATTAATGATGATGTTGATTCAAGACTTGCAGAATTTAGACAAAGACTTGCACAACAGAAAGATAAAGGTCAGATTAAAATATCAAGACATCCGTGTAGTACTGAGGAACCGTCAACCATAGAGCACAAAGGAAGTGATCCTATACCTCAGACCATAGCCACACAAACATCACCAAAAGAAGAGGAGAGTTCAGATCAAGAGATCAGACATCACCATGCAAGTCCCTTGCGAGATAGAAAGCATGAATCTCCTACAAGACTCAAAAAAACTCCAAGAAAATCATGTGATTTTCAGCCACCACTTGCAAGCCCATTTAAACAATGCAATGAAGATGAGGATGATGCAGTGATTCCTCATGTTCATCTTATGTGTGATCTTTTACCATGTCCACACCAACTTGGCCAGATTTCTCCACAGATGGGGAGACAACCACCTAAAAAGGACATTGTTGGTGATGTTCTCTCTGATGAATCGGGTGTTTCTGTTATTCCATGTCCATCAAAAAGTAGCCCCAAAAAAGTTGCAAAGCATTTAGACTTTGAGCCAGAGAGTGATGAAGAGGCAAGTGAGAGAAGAGGCACATTGGAAATGGCACATGCAAAGAAAAAGAAGAAGAAAAAACTACCAAAAGGAAAAGACCTCTCCTCAACTCACACCAGCACCCCTAAGTCTGTTGCAGAAAGTTCACCAATTAGTGCTGCAATCGGTCAGGTAAGCAACAAAATAGCATCATTTTTCCCTGCAAAAGGGTTTTCACCAGCTATTGAGAGTTACTGAATATATTTGTATTTGCTCTATTATAAGTGCATACATGTATACAACAAAAGTCATCTGAAATAAGCTATTTCGCTTCTATATGCATACTAGTGTTTGAAGTTACCAGTCGCTTGAGTCCATCATGTTTTCTGTCCGATTATCCACCTACTTTTTTGAGCAGTAGATTATAGCTGATGATCTATCTGGTTAATCTGTTTCGCTTGTTATTTCCTTATATTTCCCAATATAAACAAGTGTTTGTCGTTTGCTGTTTTGTTTTCAATAGAGTAGTGCCTACCTGTGCTTTTGTAGTCATTGTATAATATAAAACATCATGTGTGCACTCTACGAACAATGGTTCTCATACGGCGATACGAGTTAGTGTGTATTGCTGATTATCCAGTTTCCATCCTGCAACTTAACTATGCGAGTATGGCAACTAAATTAATAAGCATTGGCGTGGGTGCAAGTGGAACACATGCACGACAAGGTTTTATGTCCTTTGGCCAGTAGCGTAAATAATGCATCATTTTAGGGTGTGCAACCAATGTTACTGGAAGTACCATTTTTGAGAGAGGTGATAAAATGATAAAGTAAAGGTCACCAATTAGACCTCAATTTCCAAAAAAATAAAGATGCAAAATGACTCGAAACCCCTGCAGGGTCAATCATTCAGCAGCTCATTACCAAGACGTTTGGGGGGGGGGGGTAAATTCACTACGCTCAATTACCCACCATAGACTCCGGCCAGTCAAAATGAATATTTTGAACTGTAGGCATTAATAATCAATGATTCTGCCAATGACTGAGAGATAGAATCTAGGTCAGGGGAAGCCCCATGATTCATTTTCCTTACGTCATGAACCACGTGACCGAGGCTATATGGTGGCGCCATTACGGCTGGCTAATCACTCTGCTTTCTTCTCCGCCTTGAGTGGAGATGAAGTCTAGCGAGCTCTGCCTGGATTGCTTGCTTTTTCATGTCCGGGTTTCTAGCTTGGGTTGTTGCTGGCGCGGCATCCGACATTTTAGCTGGTACAAAAAAAATACAGGATAAGTTTTCCTTGTCATTTTTACCCTTGTGTCATTTTCCCCTTTGTGTGTAGCATTTTTTACAACAAAGAAATAAAACTCAGGCATCGTAGCTCAATCACTTGTTGATTTTGTTACGTCACCTTTTACTACTGTAATTCGCTTCCCTATTGCATGTCGTCTTCATTTTATGCTTGATCTACGTATTTAGAAATGAATAGATATAATGACAGCACCAGGACTCGCTGTCGTTTTTTGGTCTCGTTTTCGAGTCGACTGTGCAGTGGTTATATTCAGAATTTACCAGCATAGAACATGCATCCGATATGCTTTTGTCCGTGCAGGGTTCAGGGTTTTTGCCTTGAAGGCGTGTGTTTTTCACTGGAGTTCTGAGGCCTGAGATTTTTTTTCAGAGCCATCAAAATTGCTGAGACTGACCGCGTTGCTCGTATTTTCACAGCAAGGTCGCTTGTCTAGTAAAAATTGTTTAAAGTGAGTTGCGTGTTCGGCATGAGTGGAAAGTCCTCGCGCTCAGCTACTCGGCTTCGTGTACTAGGACGTCAAGTAGGAGGCCTGGCTGTGGGGGTACCGATATTTTTTCTGCCTCCTCCCGCTGGCCCCCGAGTGGGGTAAAATCATATGCAACTCTTTCCGCTGGACCAAACGCTACCCGGTCGGTGTGGTTTGCGGGATCAGACCTCAAAGTGTGGGATGGGCTTCGGAGTGCAATGAACCAGAGGGTGAGCGGAGGGCACCCCAAGCACAGAAAACACAACGCCCTAGGGCGTCGTCCGCTAGCCAGAGTCAGCCAGGAGGAAAGCGCTCATACCCTTCCATGGGAGGGAAGAGTAGCGGCGTGCCCCCAGGGAGGAAAAGGCCAGGTGGTGGCTGCTCACCCTCCTCGGGCCGTGGTCTACCCCGGCAGCGGGGGAAGCGTGTTTGACGCTTACCTTTGCATACGGGGGGACAGGCATGTGTTCGGCGAGTGGACAGGTCTCAACTTAGTGACTACTTCTGGCCTTGGGGAAACTCACCTCATGGGAGAAGAGAGTACCCACACAGTACTCACAACTGCCGAACCCATGGCCACATGTCCCTGTCATACACAGATTGCGTTGGTGTAGTCCAGTTTGGAGACAGCGGGTGACCGATCCCTGGACATTTCCAGGTGGTGACATTCTGTTACGGGATACTGCTGAAATCTCCATCTCCCCTGTCAGTGTCTCCCCTATTGGGCACTGCCAGGGGACTCTCACAAAGCGGAAGCAATCAGGCAGGAAGTAGCAGTTTGCTGGAAAAGGGCGTCATACACAAGGTAGATCAGCCGGCTTCTACCCAAATGTGTTCATAGTACCAAATCCACAGGTGACGGGCGTCCAGTTCTGGACCTAGGCAGACTGAATCAGTACGTGCTCCTCAATCGTCTGTGAGACAGTC